GCTAATCCTCCGAGGTCATTAAAATCTTAGATTTTTTAAAAAAGTTGAAGTAGTAGTTTTTCAAAGAAGAAATAGATAAAAATATCCTTTTTAATATAACATTTTTTTTTGTTATTTTGTGTTTCGTTTATAGCTACCAAGTATAACACGCCGATATCAGTGTTGACATTATTGCTCATATGATAACTATCACTTTAATTTTTCATGTATGTATGTTCATATGGTATTAATCTCGAGTAGGTAAGGGTTCTCGGAACCATCTAACTGGTACTTCCGCTTGAAGAATCCATGACATTCAGTTATGATTCATCGCAATCAACACTCAAGTATGTGTCATTTAAACTGTCGATTAATCATTTTAATCTAAATATATCGGAGCTATCATACATTCATCTTACATTGTAAATATGTACAAGTCGGTTTCATAATAAATATTACCTACCATAATGTACCTGCTGGCGATTTCGACAGCCTGACCATAACTGACTAGTATATAATTCTATACTCCTCCATTTTAAATACTACGTATATGCTAAATATCATGACCTGAAAAGCTAACAAATAAACAAACACACTTTGGCGATGTTATAATTAATAGTGAAACTTTACTAAAATTCTAAACCCATAATTTGTAAAAACTAAAGTTTACTACCGATTATATTATTAAACTGATATTTCACTGAATGAGTTAATTATTTTTTGAAGTGTGGGCTAAATAATGTCTAACTCGAAAATTGAGTCAATGATTGGGATTTTTTTATTTGTAACACCTATTTATAGGCGTATTAGTAACTCATTCATTACCGTGAAATATTATGATTCAGTAGACCAAGACCTGCAAAGGTATTAGACCAACGAGGCGTGCAACTTGCGACCGTTGAATGACCAATAAATACCATTTAAACGTTTACACCGAAACATTTTTTTTTCTCTGAGTACATTTGTGATCAGTCCCAGGACTATAAGTGAATATGTTCTGTGATGCTGTCATGTAGAGTGGCTTCCCATTGGAAACTTTACTCATCTGCATCCCAGAGCCGCCGATCTTCTAGTTCCAGGATATGAAATATAGATGTTATTTCTTTTTGCATCTACTGATACGGTCTCTGAATTTTAATAATTTGTAATTAGTGTATCGAATATACAGTTATTTGTAAATATCTTAAATTACTAAGCATATAAAAAAAACGTTACTGATAATAGTTTTTGTCTTATATCTTACTGTACGTAAGATATAAGACAAAAACTATTATTGGAGAACCTTATCAATTTAATAAAATCTAAAACAAATATCTGTTTGTACATTTATGTGGGTTAATCATAGAAACCGCTTAACGGATTTGGGTGTGATTTTTTATCTATGATAATGTATTTTGGAAAGCTACTCTAAAAATTTTGTATTTGTTTTATTGGAATCAATTTACAAACAAAAATATTATACGCATATGAAGTAACAGGCTCATATAGTATTTTTATTTGTGTGTAAATGTTGATTATGCCATGGACATTGCGGTTAACATTATTTTTTATACTTTTGTAGTTCTATACTTAGGTATAACAGTAAAAACTGGTTTCAAACACGTTCATTTAGAATTGATCGTAATGTGCGGTTTGATTGTATAACGCAATGACAATAATTTCCATCATTATTGAGATAAGTCCAGTTGTATCCTCCGCAACTGCAACTCTCAAGCGATTCGTGGACAATACCAACATTTCCAATAACATTAACCACATATTACGACGGCTATTCTCAGCATATCATGGTTTTATTAATAGAATGAACTTCCCGTACTATTATTATATAAAACAATACTTAAAAATAAGTGAAATATGAATTAAATTGATATACAAATGGTTTGGTTTGGTCAAGTAAATTGTGTATAACTTGTAAGAATCACTCTAAACTAGTAAAGTTCTTATCTTCTTACACGCGCAGTAATTACCGATTGTTTTGCTTAATGCCAAACGCGGTTTAAGATTAGATTAGGTACGCTATAAAGGTTCTAATTTAGATATAACGGGAAGCCAGCCACAAAGCGATAATATAATCTTCAACATCTGCGTACCCTCCACTCGTCACGCTTTCTGGCCCAATTCTCTGGTTTCAACCGTAGAAAAAACTCAATGGTTCTAACTGGTATTTTGTAACAGGTTTTTGATTGATGATGACATAAAGCAAGACGCGCAGTAAGTACGTTGATTGTGGGATGACTTAATTGAAATGCTGTGAATTTTTATTATATTAGATGCTTTTCAACATGTTTTTGATTTGTACATTTAATTTAATAGTTTCTAAACGTAAATTCTGTGGGAACGTTAAGAGACACCAGCTTGTCTGTAATTATTATATTACGGAGTCTACTAATAATGTACGCATAATAAACGTTTTCAGGGTTAGTTATGCATGCACAGGATCAGATAAATTAAAAAGACGCATTAAAGTGATGATATGAAGTTCATTCACCCTTTTATACCAAATGATAGTTATATCTCTTCACGACTTTAACCGAATAGTATAGTGAGATTCAATGTTAACTTTACCAAATACAATGAACTTGGTTTTACACAAAAACAATACAGAAAATGAGTTAGATGAGAACGAATAATCATGTAGGTCTACATTAAAGGAATAAAGTAGTTAATTTGTCCTCAAAATTACGTGTAGTTGAGATAGTAAAACAAGTAGCTGCTATATCTTAGCATCTTATATTAAATAAAAATTTTAAGAGTACTTACAGTTAAGAATATTTACTTGTTTAGTTTGACCCCTATTTCACAGTTGAATAGTCATATAAACGTTCAACGGTCTTTTGCGCTGTACGCTAGGAATAAAAAACACATTCACACGTACGGCTAGACAGCGTCAATACAATTAGTAAACAGAAGCAACGTTTACCACTATTTCTCGAAAAATGCTATTAATTTGCGTTGTTTACAACTAGTCAGTCATGTAAATACAGTAGATCTAGTTCACTTGTTTTCATAATGAGATGTTTATGTACCCTTGAATAAAGGTCATCTAATCGATCGGAGCTGGTGTAGTTTCACAAGTAAGTAATGAGGCTTGTAATGTATGCATTTGGTTGACGCTGCATGCATGGGCTGCGTCGAAGTTGCGCGCGTGACGCAAGCGACGGCGCGGCGGCGGCGGCGGCTGCGTCACGTTACCCAACAACAGCAATGCGGCTTCAATCACGCCAATCTGCATTCTTAGTTTTTTAGCGATTACCACAGCATTACTGATTAGCGAATGAACCAAAATTTATTTTTAAATAGAGCGGGGATTGAATTGATTTTAAAATATAAACAGTATTCTAAAATCATCTTTCTAAGACAAATGCGGGAAATGACACACTACAGGTAAAAATAAAAATATTTAATTAAATTTTAATTCACGTGGACTTTTTCGTAGACTCAATATTTCACAGATAGAGCAAATTGGCAAGTATAATTTAGATATACCGTACCCCAGATAGAATAATTAGAAGCATTTGACATCATAAATGTAACACTTGTCCTACCCAAATTTCGCTAGTCATATTTGTGCACGTGTCTTTTTTAATTTGTTATCGGTGTTTTCTTCACTTGAAAGGCAGTAGTCGTATAGTAAATTCACAGAGTTTTTTGTCATTCTGATTTCAACTCACAACCTTTTGAGTCAACTACTAGGCCACGGACTATTCACTCTTTGACGGGGATATTGAATTCTTTTAGACCTTTCGGAATTAGTATTTTGTCTTCTATTGGGTTTATTCATATATACATTTTATTTATTCCAATATACGAAATCATATCCATCCGTTTTCCTACAGTATAATACCTATAGAAAGAGAAAGAACCAGAAAAGGAGATCTTGCGTAGGAATGAATAAATGTGAACTAATGGAATGTGTAGTCGCAAGGCGCCAAATATTCATTGCTCGCGGGAGTAACACGGATTGAGGAATTCGATAAAAGAATATTTCCGAGAAAGGCAAATATAAGCAATCGCCTGTCGTATCCTGTGCTCAGTAACAGCGAATAAGATAGTCCCAACAAATATCACACCTCAATCAAAACCAGCTTTACACATTTCTCGGTTTATTTAATTAAATTGAAATTATAGTCTCGTGATGGAAAGTGGGCACCGTCACCTAGAGTAACATTTGGAAACTGTCGTGGTTAATTCCTGATAATTTCGGCGCGATGGTTTAATCTGATTTCTTATGTAATTCGGATGGCAAACAAGCTGATGGCCCACCTGATGGTCAGTGGTAACCGTTGTCTATATACATGAACAGCACTACAGACATCATTTTATCATGTTACGTCTGTGGAATTAATCATGCGTTGTCATTTCAGAGGAGTAAGATATCATGCCTCTTATCCTGTAATTTGTCACCCTTTAAGGGAGATAGCTCACAAAGCATGCTGCTACAATAGGTGAGGGTGAGGTACACATGCAGAACGACTTTTTACAAAGTCTGACTTGCTAAACTATAGAAGTACTAGCCTTCCCAATTGCTGCCAATCTTGTGGATGTGCAGTGCATAGGATAGGAACCATTAGGAACTTTGAGACGTGGCTCTTTCCGTCTCACTCTGTTATTGACAATTAGAGCGGCGCGGGCGAACGGCGGAACGACTGACGTAACGCAGCCTTCACACCCGCCGGCCGTGCATTGCTGATTGTTGCTGAGGAATTATGATTATGGTCAAGATTTATTTTAACTGAGCATCTCTATCGTCACACTTTAAATTTTATTTTTCTGATGGGTACTCATGTTTCTATCATCGATCAGCATGTACGCTTGTTATATTATACATACATAGACATTTAAACAAACACTCGAATGGTAATTGTGTCGTCCATATTTGAACTCATGAACAATATGGTCTATAACTAAGAGTAGTAAAGCACTATGCTAAGACCCAGCTATCACAAATTATCTATGATATTGTCACACATTGCCTAATATTATGAACTAAACCATGCTAAAATTGTGTTATTTGTCCCCAGATTGGCAGATCGTCAGAACCTCCAATAGACTTCGTGGTTATGGACACGGTTGCAGGTGACAAAACTGGTGATACGAAGGTGATGCAGAGCACGATATCGCGGTTCGCGTGTCGAATTATAGCGGATCGCAACGACGTCAATAATTGCCGAATATACGCCGCCGGCTTTGACTCCTCTAGGAATATATTTCTAGGTGTAAGTATATACTTATATAGGTTGCTACCAAATTATCAACATACTGTTCTCTGCTATAGCGTAGGTGATACTGACACAACACTGTTATTTTATTATTGACGATTTTAGGCTATCGTAATCGCCATTTTAGCACGGCACTAACTATTTTGATTGTCCATTGAATAATAAAAAATTAAATACAAATATCTTATCAAAGATCTTTATACATAATATTATATATAATATTTCGTTTTGTATGAATTGGGCTTCAAAAATAGATTTTGCAGTTTCGGTTATAGTACTACGCTTTAATAGGTACTATACATTTTTCTACATACTTTACTAATGCTTCTATAACAAATAAATGCCAGTCCACGCTACATACACTCTTATGTGTGTGAAACACATAAGAGTGCTTTATATCTCCGATCAATCAAAATGATATATCATTATTTACATCGGTCATTCACGTATGATATGATATGGCGACTTTAAGAAGAGAATTCGTTTAGTCAGCGAATCGAGAAGTACTAGTTTTTTCAAGAACGTATCTAACATTATAAATCTGAAAGTGAATTTGTTTCATGTTTAAACCGTCAATTATGATGAATTTTAGTATACAGATCGATGGTACCCTAGAGACGATCATAGGCTAGGGGGTGAAATAGGGTATGTAAGTTTATGAATTAATGATTTCTCAAACAAACGATATAGAAATCATTGTAATCTAAAAATAGGCGTGGTTATTAACTAGTGTATTTATGAATCTCAAAATCTATTAATTTAAACATGCTAAAACTTAGCTAAAAGATGTTGGAACATGTAAAAAATATATAACTTATGTATTATTAATTTCTTGTGTTATTAAATTCAGAAACAAAAATATGAATGCCAATGTACCTCAATATTTATTATACTTTTACTAATTAACTCAAATTTGTTACCAAGCAGATAATTTACCTACCTAAAACAAACTTATTATACCTCTAATATTCAGACTATTGTATAATCATTACCTATAATTAAATAGCGAAATAATCGTTGAGTATTGTATTTCGGTGGCGTCGGGGAATGCTTGCAATTAAGAAAATACGTTCCTTATATTTTTATGATTTGTATTTCGTATACATACGGGTAAAGTATTACTTTAATTAAGGTGCTTTACTGTTCAGAGGTCGTTTTAGACTAAAGAGTATAAGATAACCTACTGAAGTAGTAAAACAACTGCCAAACCTTTCGAAAATGATACGGCTTATTTTTGTTATTTATCGACAGTATTTTTTATTTGTGATACCCAGCAGAAAGATTTTTACTAATTATTTAGATCTATAGGCATAATACTTAACGTCAATATCAGAATCAATTTTACATGAACTCAGCTGTAATCGAACAGGACAGTTAATTTAATTAGAATAATTGTTTTATGTCATAAATAATATAATAAATCAGCGGGTCGACTAATGCAATTAAATATATTACAGGAAAAAGCAACAAAATGGACGGAGAACCACGAAATCGATGGTCTGACAACGAACGGGGTTCTGATAATGCACCCGCGCGGCGACTTCTGCGGCGGCAGTGCGACCAGCGAACCGTGGCGCGAGACCTCCGTTGGCGGCGCAGTGTTCTCGTTACGTGAGAGCCGTTCAGCACAACAGAAGGTACAGTACTTCTTGGAAGAAAAATAATTAGAATAGAATAAGGGACAACAATTGAAGGATATCCTTAGAAGCGTTTGTTTTTATCTCCTCAGGATAGAGTGCAAATTTTCCAAAATAAGATATTTCGTTTACGCATGAGTGGGCTACAACCACATAAGATGTGTAGTGGCGTTTCCTCATATCTATGTAAGGGATACATCTCAGCATATAAGTATGCCGTGACTATACTGTATAAGTATGACGTGAACTCAAAAAGAAAATAAATAATAATAATAGTTAAGTGATTCCTATATCTATAGTTGTATGTACAATTTACCGTTTGTATATCAATTTTCATACAAACGATTATTCTTAAAATATTATTTATTACTTAAAGATTTTTAATAATATTTTAAAAATAATTTCCACTCAATATTATTATGATTATTTTTATTTTCTAGGGTCTGCCATGTCAATCGGAGACAAACGTATTGAGAGATGGTACTATGATAGATTTGTGTGGAGCCACATTGTTATGGAGAAGTGCGGAAGGATTGAAAAATTCACCGGTAATTTTTTTTTCGTTTAATAATAGCATTTATAATCACTAAGTCCCAAATAGCTTAAAATCTTGCTGATGCTTAGACATTGGTTATTCTCCATATTTGAGAATTCACTTTTAGCAAGTTTTATCACTCCATAATTTTTTTTGTTTGCCTGGAAGAAATCTATTTAGCGATAAGGCAGCCTAGCCTTTCTCTGTCTTACTCATAGGAATAATGTTATCTTTTCGTACATATTTCTCTAATCTAAATGCATTTTAGTGAGAGCAACAATAGTTTCCATTTCTTTTCAATTTGGAAATAATCGTAATAAAAACTTCTGTTTATCAGCTCCAACTTGAGGTTAACAACTACTATTCATTAAATGTTACCGGAATTAATAGTCATGCAGAATGTGTATCCCTTTACTCAGCTGAGTACCTAATATAACTACTATTCTTATAAAGCACACGACACAAGCTCGCGTGCCTACTATGAGGTTCACTGCAATGATTCTTACTGGTTGAATAAACATTATTTTTACTGTAATTTTCAGACAGATTCTTGTAATGTAATTATACTATGTCGTGAAGTGATGTGTAATTGTTGATGTAAGTAAAGTAAATGTCTACATAATGTGTTTTGCAGACAAAGCGGGTGTTAGAAACGCTAGTAGACGAGCTTAACGCAGGGCGACCTCAGTGCCCGGTCGGTTTGAATACTCTGGTAATCCCGCGCCGTTTATCCACGGCTGCCAGCGAGCGTTCACAGGATCTCAATCAGCCTTACGTTTACCTTAATTGTGGACACGTACAAGGTACTGTAAAGTATTATCACAGATAACATAATATTACATACAGATACCCCATCCCATACAAGAAAATGGTTCCTTCCTAACTCGGGCTATTCTTCGGGCTATTTTATTTCGCCACCGTAGCCGCTAGATGTCGCTAGATTTGAAGCAGTTCGGATTACTAGTGGGTGCTTAGTAACAAAGCATGAAAATAGATGGCAGTCAATTCAGCTACATGACATCTGTTTTGCAAAGATATGTATATAATAGATATGTAGGTTACTGTATCGTGTACCTCATTAGGGACGATTCAAGATTCAATGTAAATGTGTAGGTATAATATCGTTAGCCGACACTCTGCAGATATGGCTTATGTGCCAATGTATATACCTATTATGTTATGGTTTATTTTACATTCCATGCCTATTTTTTTGATATGTTGTAACGCGTCTGCGCTATACGTATAGCCTGATTTTGATACGTTTATACTCGTACGTATCAAAATCGGGCTATACGTTTTTTTATTTCAATCGTTATATGTATGAGACTGATTTTAGCTACAATTAATTTACTGGTATATACCTCATGTATTCTACGATGTACCCCTCTTTTACCTAATGAGAATTCCGCTATATCTTATATTGTTGGATCGTCATAAAAATAATTAAAATAAGTTGTAAGACTATTGCGCTGCGTGCGGTATTCAACGACCAACTGCCGCCGGCCTCCCGTTACCCAACCGCTACCGGGGTATCCGTTGCTTAGCAACGAGCCAACAGCGCGAGGCTACCGGCGGGTGCGCCGCTATATATATATATCTACTTAGAGGTAGTGTATTACAATATATAAATTTTGTATCACAGTGTTAGTTGCCATATTTCTCCCATGATGAAAATTGATATGTATACTTGCCAGGTCTGAGGTAGGGTTGTTATCTATTTTTTATACCCCTAAGTCATAGGGGTGGCCTACCCCGAAATAATATTTTTTTGTATTATGGACAATTTTTTTTTTATTTATAATGTTACATTGAAAATACATACACGCCTAAATTTTCACCCGTCTTTCACCAACCCCTATTTTTAATAGCGATATTCTTAAAAATATTATAAATGCTAAAGTAACTCAGTCTGTCTATTTGTCTCGCTTTCACGCCAAACATTCTGAATTACTCGTATATCTTTCAATATCTTTAGCGGTATAAACCAGGTTATGTACTACTACTAGTATTGTTAGTGAGGGATAAAGTTGATGAACAAAAATAAAACAATATTCGTATTAAAAATATATTCATCTAATATTTTTGGCATTATTTTTAAGTTTCTTCCAAATACAAGGGGTCTGACATGGGGTGTTATGTACCTACATTAAAAGATACTTTTTGAAATGTATGAAATGTATGTACCTACATTAAAAGATAATTTTTGACATGTATGAAATGTATGTACCTACATTAAAATATAATTTTTGAAATGTATGAAATGTATGAAAGAAATGTATGTATGTACCTACATTAGAAGATAATTTTTGACATTTATGAAATGTATGTACCTACATTAAAATATAATTTTTGAAATGTATGAGATGTATGAAAAAAATGTAAGTACCTACATAAAAAGTTCATTTTTGAAATGTATGAAATGTATGAAAGAAATGTATGTACCTACATTAAAAGATAATTTTTGACATGTATGAAATGTATGAAAGAAATGTATGTACCTACATTAAAAGATAATTTTTGACATGTATGAAATGTATGAAAGAAATGTATGTACCTACATTAAAATATAATTTTTGAAATGTATGAAAGTAATGTATGTACCTACATTAAAATATAATTTTTGAAATGTATGCACCGTACAATAACAATACACGTTAAACATCATACCACAGAGTCATACGCAAGTTAAAAACAAACTGCTATGATATTAATGAGAAAGGAAAATCAACTTTATGGTATTCGAATTAGGATCGATTTCTTTCTTTTTTTTAAATACTAATTTAATCTTACCAGTTGCCAGTATTCGAAGACAACTACGATTCGTACTCGATATTTTAAATTATTATGTAATCGATTTTTCAGTACAAATGCAAATAACCAACGACACTAATAATGTACTACTATATTCCGTTCTTTGAAACGGAACACTGCTATAATACAAAATAATGAAAATTTACTGTTCACAACGACTCATTAAAAGCATCATCGAATAATGCGTAATAAAAACCTGTTATCGATTATTAAAAAAAATCGATAATACATGTATTTATTTATAATATGACAACACTTCATACATAAGTATTATTGGAAATATTATTACTTGCTTGTTCGGCTATTTTTAATTTATTTAAAAAATTTTTATATGTTTAATTTACAATAATAATATATTAAGTGCTTATTATTGGAAAATATAAAAAAGACATTTAATTAGGCCGATACAAATGACGACAATGCCATCTATGAAAGCATTTTGAAAACATTGAGCCCCATATTAGCACTGATTAAAGTGTAATTATATATAACAAAATGAGTAAATATATGAAAATTACTTTTCTAAACGCATTATTTCATTTTAACATGTATATATAACTTTTTAAAAATTGATTAAACATTTTTGAAAACACAGTTTTAACGTTTGCAAAACTATGAAGAATTCCATCGATACCAATCACGCCATCTATATGCAACTTTTAGCAATAATAATGGCTACTTCCTCATTGAGTGCCACTGGTATTATATATCTAATTAATTTTCATGACCTTTATCTCTGCTACATTGAAGAATTAATGTCAAACAAAACTCGTATTGATTTTTCGAATTCTATATATTTACAATGGCTGTGTTACTACAAAGAGATTAATCTGGATTATTTGTCAATTTTCAAAATAAATGATTAATTTTGTAAGAAACTAAAACTAACTAATAATTTAATGATAAAAACATTTGTATTCATGAGTATGATGTGTTTTCTTTATATATTAGTACTAGCTGTCCCGGCAAACGTTATTTTGCCTTAAAATAAAAAAAAATTTAGGGGTGGACTACCCCTAACAATCGGCCAACATCTATGAAAAATAGATGTTGGCCGATTCTCAGACCTACTCAATACGCTCACAAAATTTCATGAGAATCGGTCAAGCCGTTGCGGAGGAGTATGGGAACGAAAACTATGACACGAGAATTTTATATATAAGATGTATTTAAAAAAAATGTTTTCAATTAGTGGTTTAATAGTAATAATTACACAAGCTCTGTTTAGCTTAGGACTAAAGGGCAGCGTATGAATTGTCAAGTTACTATTATTTTATACTTATTATTTATATAATTGCGTGTAAATTTGCAGGGGAGCACTCATGGGGCGCGGAGGGCACGGAGGCGGGCGCCCGCCGCTGCCCGATGTGCCTGACGGCGGGGCCCGTCGTGCGAGTGTGTATGGGCATCGAACCCGCGTTCTACGTTGACGCCGGCCCACCCACATACGCCTTCAACCCGTGCGGTCACATGGCCTCAGAGAGGACCGTTAAGTAAGTAAATTAAAATCATTTTATTATCTGTGCCCAGGTTTCACCCGCATGATATTTATTGCCTGATATACATTCTGATGTATAAACTCCGTTCTTTCGCATTTATAATATTAATAGTATTATGTATATAGGACCATATTTTAGTCCTAAATTAAAACAAGCAACCATTTTTTATTGCAGATCTTCACAAAATTAGTGATCGATCTAAACTAGACTTTTTAACTGAAATTTTGGTTTAGTTTTTACGATTTTTAACGAGTGATTGTTTAGATTCTTCCAAACATGCATTGTTGTAAATATATGGTTGTATTATAAACAGGTACATGATAACTGATAATATGTTGTTCAATAAAAATACAATAATTAATAAAGTAATCAATCCAAATAGCCTTGATGATTGATAAAGAAATTACCAAATTTAATTAATTATTGCTTACAAACATACATAGTTCTGGTTTCAATCATACTATCGACGAAATTAATTAAATCAAATCTAAAGCAACACTATATTGAATTTCTAACTCTCGTAATTATAATATGTATGATTATTAGTTACGTAATATTACATTTGTAATTATAGTAATGTCTTTGTTGTAAGGAATTATAATAAGATATAATTTAAACCTAACTACCCGCTCCGGTTACGTAATAATACAATGTCAATATTTTTCGATATCCTATTATGGAATGTTTTTAACGATTTAAGCTGGTTGTTCGTGCGATCAGTGGTAAGAACAAGCTAACTGACTATTATTATTGCAATAACCTTTTACGCCGGCCCTAAATGATCGAAAGGACAAAATTAGGAAGATGTTTTTTTTAGTAGATATTGTAGGACTGCGATCTGCATAGATCTATTGTGCTTTTTTAGAGTTCGGTGCATAGGCCCGTCAGGGACAAGAATTGTAGAACATTCTTAGGAACTATGGTTTTTATCTCCTCAGGATAAAGTGTACTTTCCAAAGGAGATATTTAGTTTATCCATTAGTGGGCTACAACCACATAGGATGTATTGTTTGGTGGTGTTTTTGCAAATCTTTGTTAAGCAGAGGCCACTATCTCAGGCACTAATCTTGGCATTTCGTGGAAGGAAGGAGAAAGATGATCCATTAGGAAGATGTTACTGATGTAATTCATTCATTCATTTTTATACAGATATTGGGCGACAGTGGACATACCTCACGGTACAAACGGGTTCCATGCGATCTGTCCGTTCTGCGCGGCGCCGCTAGAGGGCTCGCCCGGGTACGTGCGGCTGATCTTCCAGGACAACCTCGACTGAATCTTCACGCCGGTCGAAGCACCACGTACACGGCAGGTATTAAACGTTGTAGTTTTTTTGTGATGTGGATGATGATGTAATGATAAGTCCTCTTGTGTTAATGATATATGCGGATGTGGAATCTGAGTGATGTTACCAGGAGGAATATCACCCCGACGGATACAAGCAATCGTACTCATGAATACAAATATCGTGCGAGGAATAAAACCCGCGACCATCATGTGCTAGTCAAGCTATTACTTTGGTAAAGTTCCTTCAATAATAATCGTTCTCACATATCTTACATATGAGAACAACTATTATTAGCTGGAAGACGCAGCGTGGGAAGTCTCTGACAAGGTGGACCGACGAATATAGTCAAGATCGCTGGAAAACGCGGATGCGAGCAGCGCGGGACCGTCGCTACGTCTTGGACATTTTTTGGGGGAGGCCTCTGTTCAGCAGTGGACGTCTTCACGGCTGAAATGATGATGACGATCTTCCGTATTCAGCCATCAGTTACATATTTATTATATATATTCTTTTTTGTTACAGCTGTGCCACCAATCTACGTACAAAAGTGCACTAGACGTACGTATCCGGCGCGTAGGCCTTAGATGCTAATACCGGACTTGGCTTTCGATACGTTAGCCCCAGATGGTTATGTAGATCCTCAACTGTTTGAGAATATTATCATGCCGTCATCAAGGTCTTTCAGTTCATTAATTCTATCAAGGTCATTCATTCTTGAACATCAAGTTTCATGTTGAATCTCACCGTTTAACGTCACCGATGCACATTTAATGGTTTAATTTGATTATTATAATGCGTAATGTCAACACAGCTTAATGGAATGATAATTTATTTGTCCATATAATTATGTGTGTTTACGCAGACGTACATGTTAGGTGCATATTACACGATTATAATATTACTATTGCAACGGTCATGACTGTTGTGTACATATTTTCTGAAAATGTAAAATGTATCTAAAATATTAAAAATTTTAGTGATGTTCTCTTCTTATAAATTGTTTATTAAAAATTAATCTGATAAATAAAAAGAGGCAGTTACAACGTCGAGCCTGCATACATATTCTACTTGTAAATACAACTTTTATTTAAAATGAGTCGATTATTGGCTGAATCTGCTAATAGGAAAATAGAGGGGCTCTTCAATAACTTTGGCTATATTAAAATTCGACCTGACAACACGTCAAGACTGATGAAAAAAAAAATTGTTAATGATCGTGTAATAGTCGCCTTAAGTTTATAAATCGATGTGTTTACGGTGTATGTATATTTAATAATTAAGATTATATAATAAATGACTTCGAATTACAGAGGACTTGTATTTATTCGATTGAGTCAATATGTAAGATACGACGGCAAGGAAATAAGTGAAAATAATAAAAAAAGAAAAATATTTATCGCTTTGTATAAACATCGCTATATTAAGTTATTGACGACGTCGTAATTGTAAAAGAGGTTTAGATATTTTAATAATCAACATCTTATTATTTTCGTGTAATTCAGGAATGGAATTAGAATTGGCGGTTTATTAAAAAGATCTCGCAGTACTAGAAGTCACAAAATTCATAACAACACCAGAATTAAACATTATTATTTATAATGATGCGGCTGTAAGGACAGGTACCTCGTTACGGATGTTTTAAGAACATATTCCTGCGAGACGGTTCTTAAAGTTTAAATATAAATGGAGTTTATATTACATATATGTATACTAATAAATCAATATTAATATACTATATATATTATATTGTGGATATTACAGATATTTTTTTGTTTCTAAATATTAATCAAAACCCATCTAACCAACCGAGTTTAAAGTAGATGTAGCACAAGTATGCTAACACTTTTCCATATAATATTATTGACAATATATTATTTAAAAATTTAAATCATATAAATCAATAATATAAGATATATTCGAAAATGTTTGTTTGCATTCAACGCATGAAGAAAGACCTGCAGTTCTTATCGGCGCACTTAATGTAAATAGCAAGCGAATAAAGCAGCCAAAATACTAATTCCATTCTTTATCTACGCGACTCGTAACAGGCTTTAGATTTTTTTCATATTTTCGTTTATAATCATAATAACAATGACGTTTTTGCATAAATTATTTAAATTGAGATGATTGGATTATTATCAGATAGTAAATACGTTCCTTTAATGGATGCGAACGATGCTTGTGTTTGGAATATTCATGTATTATTAATCAATGTAAATATATTCATAACATCATTTCCTATGAATTGTATTATTGTTAAGTAATTTATGTTGGGTTTTTGTAGTGTGTGAAATGCTTCTTTAATTATAAGAGAGCCTTTTAGTGATTGTCATGAATCAATGATATGGTTTTGGTTCGAAATGGTTTCTGGCTGGATTGTTCTAGAATGGCCAGAATATGTTTGACGGGTATCACCACGCGTAATAGAATGCCATGTATATTTTATACAAACAGTAATATAAGGAGTTTGTATTAGAGCATAATTAGATTCAATGTGTAAGGTTTAAATGGTTGGATTATGAGATGAATTTAATGTTTTTGATAATAGAGATACAGCTATATGAATTATATTGTCTACCCTGGTATGTACAGACGTAATTAAATTTACTATCTCTGATATAACATTTAAGTGTTTCTATTAAAGACGTGGTTTCGTAAATATGACACTGGCTCTTGTCAATAGATTTATAAAAAAATTAAATAATAAATACATTATCTGAAACTATTAAAAGCAATTAAATTATAACTGCTTGTTATATATTTCTAATATTTGACGGACTGTTTATATATTTAAATGCAATATGATTATTACAATTAATTTCTTTCAATATTTTTTTTTTAAATAACTATGAAATGTAATGTACAAATTCATTGAAAAATCTTCGGAATCATTTATGTGTAGAGATGGTGAACAGATGTAATTCTAAAAGTATTGTGTTACGCGTGTTTTCTCATGGGAGAGTTTATGTTCTAATTTAAAATATAATCATATAAAAATAAAATGTACTTTATGTTACTTCATAACTCCATAAAGATCCAAACTGTGTTTTTCATGTTATTACGTATAAAAATAAAACTATGACGTTAATGGCCCGTTAGCATTAATTCAGTGCTGACGTTCTGACCTGACGTCTAAAGCAGCGTTCTTGAACTTTCCGATCCGAAGATATTTCATTAAATTTTATTTTATGATGCACCATACCGTTAAAAATCATACAAGATTAACTATTTAAAGTCAAATGTCTTATAAACCCAGCTTGGTATGTTGAAGCATTTGTTCATTTAAGTTATTAACTCGATTTAAAAGAAAGTAAGAAGACACTCATTTTCATAGGACGCAGACAAATATACCAATTTCGATTAATTTATAGAAATACATCCCTGGAAGTTTAGGAAGGCTGGCTAGATGAAAAGTCACGATTCGTAATGTTATCATTATAAACATCATAGTTAAATTTGTTACATTTAAATTATAAATGCTTACATAGGATTCATGACGTCATATTGAGGAATGGCCTGTACCGTTGTTTGTTTACTTATTAGGTTGTCATTGAATATGGTGAAATTCGGTATGTTAGAATGGCGGTATACAGTTAATAGGCGCAGTGTAAATAACGGTCAATTCCCAACATAAACAAATTGGTAATTACGACCCAACCTCTTTGATTTTATTACACACTAGAGCAACCTGATGACTAATCGACTGTATGCCATCACTCTTGTAAGAAGTAAAATTGGTACGCTATCAGCATATCGGTATATGTATTTAAGGAAACATTTAGAATTTATAGGAGTAACAATCATGGGCACGAGGATATATCATGTATTATGGTAATGATATTTATAGTCATGTCAAGACAAGAGATTATTACAGTATCATATATATGGGATCGTATATATATCTTACTTAAAAATGGATTAGTTCAGCAAAAAGAACTCGATCCTTAAAATTACGTAGCCACGATTTCCTAAACAAATCAAGACGTCCGAAAGACGACTATCGCTTAGTGTAATCTTCACTGATGGTACTCTTAAAACTTTAATATTAACCTTAAAATTGTGATTTTGAGTTCTCTTTGTTTAACTGTCTATTTATGGGGTGGAAACAAAGTGATCTCACTAGTTTATTCCTAAATTGTACAAGATTTATTTTCTAATGTGGAAAATGCGTCACTACTCTTAATGAAGTGACATATTTATTGGTCTATATATGATACTATAATTCATTAAATAAAACTATATAACCTTATTTTTATCGTACTGTTTATTGAGTAACAGAAAATACGGAAATTAGTTTTTGTTTTCATTGCGGCATGCAGTATCGTTTATCTCCTCGTTTACCGTTCCTGCTAGAATAGAACTAATGAACATTGAGCAGCTCCATAAAGTGATTCATTTAGAAGGTTTTCTTTAAAGTCGAATTTCTATTTTTTAATGCAGTTTGTTAATAAGCGTGCGAGATATGCAGATCTAAATAAACCTAAAATTTTAGGACAGCACTTCATTCAGGACATAACATCGGGCTCGTTGTAAAAATAAAGTAAGTTAGAATTTAGTAATTAGCTTACAAAGTATGAGAATTTAGTTTTTGTACAATTGAATTTCACTAGTTAGTGATGTCACGTGTCCTTTCAAGTTGACAAATGTACCGATTGTACGACTGTAACACTCACCAAACTTGTCTACAAAACTGAAGATATCTATACAATTCATTGAGTGCAAATAAGTCTATTAAAAAGTCTATGTAAGTAATTATATCAGTGTAGAAATGTGAACACTTGATTTAGTTTTTTTTTTTAATGATAGCTACTTCGTAGTAGTGACGGAACAGATCTACAGACTAAAGAAATACCGCTTTAGGCTGATAATAAACACTCGGTCAGTTGTCAGGCGACTAACAACCAGTAACTGTTAGCCTGAGTTATAACGAGTAAAAGCTACTACAAATCCATTTTAACTGTAGTTTGTCATTTCTGTTCAAATGAAAAGAATAATTTGAAAGGAAAAGGTAAAACTGTTCTATAGTTAAAGTAGGTTTATTTGATCTTCTACTGTCTAACCAGACTATTGTTTAATTTCAGGTTGTCAAGTCAAATTTTTAATTTTCTGTGGTAATTCAAGTTACCTTTATAATTTCACTGTTATAACTAAAAAGAAATGTACAAGAGAATGCTTCAAATATACGAGTTTTACAACTGCGATGTGACATTGACCCGGCTTCAATGTGTTGTAAAAATAAATTACATTGCACTAGATAGTTTATATTTAGCTTATTTTTATTAGAGTGAGCAAGTTCATGAATGTAGTAATGCTTTTATGACGATGGTTCTGCACTTCAGTGTTAGTGTTGATATTTACAATAGTGTTGGTTCACTAAGCACTGCAGTGTTTATATTTAAGTATGTCGGTATTAGTATCGTTGTGTATCACGTAAATTTCGATTAACGCATAATATTGTATTTGTTGTGTGCTGTGCTTTGGCAGGACTAGTGTGTGCAAGCTTCTACCAAAGTGAACAGTGTTATAGTATTTACACGTATTGTGTTCTATGTATAATTTATTGAAGTGAAAACGTCTTTAGACGCGCGAAGTACGTTATTTTCGAGGTATTGAATGAGACTTAAGGTTGGCTATGTAACGTTTGTTCGGGTAAAATCGGCATGAGTCGACTAAAACGAGAAAAAGATAGTCGGCACGTCACTGCTATACTAAAAGAGTAATATCAGCCAGTTGCTATATGTTACTGTACAATTTTCATGTTTATTTAATCGACAAACAATTTCTAATAGCTGAAGTGCACAATCGTTCAACCTGTTCTAACATTTATTAGTGGTAATAAGAACTGAATGCGCTAGCCTTAATTTAATTTATGATAAGTGATAGGATAATAAAATCGCTCTTTTGAGTTAAAAATTTTCATGCTGTTTTATTTTTTCTGTGACTGATCTGTGAATTGTCATGTTTTGAAAATGTTGAATGTGAGCTACATGCTCACATTCAACATCTTCATCATCACATAGATAAAAACAAAAATTAACTGCACTGTATGACTTGATATATGATAATATTGATACACTGAACACTTGCGATCTCAATCATTGACGTAAAAGATAGTGTGAAGGAAGTTATATTTAAAAAGGAACATATGAACGGTATTTGACATTTTATGTCAAAAAAATATTTATTATTACGTCAAGCCTGTAAGTGTTTATGGTAGTATATAAATTACTATATATAACTAGCTGTCCCGGCAAACGTTGTTTTGACTTAAAATAAAAAATAAAGAATAGTGGTGGACTACCCCTAACATTTAGGGGGATGAAAAATAGATGTTGGCCGATTCTCAGACCTACTCAATACGCTCACAAAATTTCATGAGAATCGGTCAAGCCGTTTCGTAGGAGTATGGGAACGAAAACTGTGACAGAATTTTATATATAAGATTTTTAAAATATTATTAGTTTGCATAAAAGATATGTAAAATAAATAGGGATATACAATACAACAACTAAAATTTAGAGCTTGTAATAGACCTCACAATATATTAGTACAATGGTGTAGGTTAGTCTAATACTGATAGATAACCTTTAAATCGGTTAATATCAAACTACATAATACCATCTGCATAGTTTATTATACATACTCGTACATTATGAGAATATAATTCTGATCGTTAACTAGTGCTGTGCGGTCGAGAGGTCGACCGCTCGCGCCGCTATCACGAGCCATCCTGCAGTTTCCCGTTCTCGTTCACTTTTGTGGTGATACGCTCCATTACCTCGTGGTTGTATGTGGAGTGCAGCATGAGACCCAGTACGCCCGCCCTGATTGCAGATAACATACATTCTCAAAATTAATATTTGAGAGATTAGATTAGATTGTAATATCTAAACTAAAAAAAATGGAAGTTATATTTTCTATAGAATTTTATTTTCTGTAATTGGAATGACAAACAAGCTGATGGCTTACGTAATGGTAAGTGGCTACCGTCACCACGTGATATCCGTTGTACCCGTCATGTATGCATTAAGAAGTCCTACCTCAGGATCCTACACTATTCACTGCTATATCCCTTCAACTGAACACATCTTACAAAACCAGTAGTTTGGCGGATGATATACTCAGAAAGACAAAAAGTTTATTTTTTACTAAAAATTGGCTTTGTACAAACAAGGCCTATTTTTAGTAAAAAAAAAAACTCATTATCAAAGAAATAGACTATTATTGTGCTTCACATAATTAGTAACACCTACACTAATTACACCCCGGCGAATCTTGGATGAGTCACTAGTCATGAACATACCTGGATGCCATAGCGAGCCGAATGCTTCTCTCCTGTTCCACAAGCTCTTCCAAACGTAGCCACTGTCTGACGCGCTCCATGTCAATCTCGGCGCGACGCAACTTCTCCCATTGATAATGTTTCAAACACGACTTCTTGGGGGCGCGACAGAATTCCCCTGTAGGCTCGAAAACATTTCGGACCAAGGGACACCCGCAAACGTCTGTGTCATTTACTTTTGGATCTTTGAAGTGTTCTGGACACATTACCTAAAAATATAGTAATGTATTTGAGTCAAGAAGGAATGAAGACAATAATAAGTATAATTAACATTACTTATACTGTAAAGACAAGGAAATGTTATAATAATATCCTACAACAAGTCGCCTATTCACTGTGGTGTGGTAAAAAAGAGTTAGCAGAAGGGGAAATAATGACTTTTAATGATGTCAAAACATCTTTTGAAGCGCCAGTTTCGAAGATGAAGACTATAGATATCTGAAAGATTCCTATACTTATAGACAACTAATAGCTTCAAATTTTATGATTGGCAACAAACATTAATAGCGGTTTAAAAGAAGCTTTAATTGTACTAAGGACCAACATGAATGAATGAAATGTGGTCTGGGTTTTTGTGTCTCAATAACCCTATCAACACGTTAAGCGCGCTCACATATTATTCAGTTCGTTCAGACAATAGTCGGTTCCCGTTCGTTTGGTGTATTGGTTGTTACGCCCTGTCCTGTTTGGAAATGCACCAATCAGAATGTTGTCGAATAAAACAAACCTCCAAATAAACACGACTTGTGATAGCTCTAAAATGAAATTAAACAGAATGCAACTTACTCTAAGCCGCTTGCAGTATGTTCCATTAACAGAGTTGTAATAGTCACAGAAGGTGCTCTGGCCGTCGATGCGGGTCCTGTGTCGGCTGCCGAACGACGCCTGTGCCTCATACTTCATGAAACACTTCTCCATGTGCTTCACCGCTGTACGGGAGTGGATCTCGTGTCCACACGTTATGCAGTACATGGATGTTTCATCGTCGGCTTCCTGTTTGTACAACTATCAGTTAAGAGGGTGATCTAATAAACCTAATTACTCCTGAATAAAATTATTGATGCTGGTACATTTTCAATTTCTTTTTATAGTCAAATTTTCGTTTCTATTTTGTGTTTAAGACTCAAGAAGTGCTAACGATAAAATACATATTCATTTCCACAAAAAAGATAGATTTAATCAATAAATTAAGAGACCAAGAAAATAGTAAGCTACAGAGATTGATTTGAAAAAATCTATTCAACATTTATAAGAACATTACAATACACAAAAATAACGGAATTGATAACGTAATAGAGTGGGCGGTGGCAGGTGATAGTGTTTTCTTATGTATGATAATGGAATGGTGCAACCGCCTGCGCTAACGGTTTACGCTGGCGGGGCACCACTGGAGGATGATAAGATGAACATGAGGTCAGGTCAGTTAGCCCATCGTGACAAATTCACTAAGAATTTATCAATTTGGTTTCCAGGGGAAATCGCGTGGAGGTCAACCTAACGTAATATATTGCTAGCAATAGGCCTTTCCCCCCCGGCTGATAGTGTGGGCGGTGGTAGATGAGAGTGTGGGTGGCGGGCGGTGGTGGGCGGCACCTTGTCGTCTGCGTGCGCGATGGTGGCGCCGCGCGCGCGGGCGACGAGCGCGTCGAGGTCGCGGTGGCGGCGGTCGAGGGCGCGCAGCGCGGCCTGCCCCCGCGCCATGCCCGACCGCACCACCTCCAGCGCCTTGCGGTTCTTCTGCTCCGCCTCGCAACTCGACAGCGACCACTCTTGGATACGTTGAGGCAGTACCTGACGACGGATTAGAATAACTATATTTGCGCCTAGTTTACTGACAGTAGCTCTTTCGTCGATCACGAAATATGGAATCTGTAGGCTCTCTACGTTTACGACCGTTCGACATAATATTGAAAACTAAATATGTAGTTGAAATGTCATTCTACCGATTGCTGATTGTATTGAAAACTGTAATTCGTAATTTAAATTTGCTATTTATGATTTGCAAAAATATCTTGCAACTAGTAGAATACTACACCACATACTACAAAAAACCACATTACAATCTGTTCCATAATTTAATAGATCTAAATGTACAAACATACGCTTCAACATATCTCTTAAAGCGTATAAGTATATATAGATACATTTTTTAAAAACATACATCATATACATGTGGAGTGGGTGTTTACTACCCACAACAATACAAATATTTGTATTCATGAATGAATACAAATAATTGCATCTTGCGCAGAATACAACCCTTGATCATAGGAAGAAATATAGAGAATAAAGAACTGATATAAATAGGAAACCTGATATATCCTGGCAGTAGCGAGCCTCATGCCGCACTGCGTGGAGCAATACTTGGAGCCGTAGTTGGCAGCGCGGGTGCACTGTGGCCCGTAGCACTGCCGCGCCTCCGACGTCTGCAGGTGCGATATCGACTCCTCCGGCTCGTATGTTTCGCGCTCGTGGTGTTTCTTCTTCATTCTTGTGCTGTTAAGGGTAAATTTGATATTTTAAAGGCGTACAAACTGATGATCATATTATAATATGAACAGGAAGAGAGATATGTTTAGTACTCATTTAGCCTCAGTAGTCTAGCAGTTTTAGCTCATTGTCTTACCTTCGTTGCTTGCGGGTTCAATTATTTGGATGATTGTTCATGAGTATGATTATTTGGAAGTTTTCTATGTGATATTTGATGGTCTCGGTGGTCTAACGATTTAGCACACCGCCTTACTTCCGATCGTCGCAAGTTTGATTCCTTGCACGGCACAAACATTTGTATAAATGAGTATGATTGTTTGTATCGGTCTGGGTGTTTTCTAAGTATAATATGTATGTATTTAGGAAAAAAAATCTATATATTTTATCAGTTATCTAGTACCCATAACACAAGCTATAGCTATAAATAGCTTGGTCTAACTTGGGTAACTTGGGTCTAGTCTAGATGACGCTGTGTGAATTATCCTGAGATTATTATTATTATGTATTTATTTACATAAAAAACACTATTTAAGTATTTCTATCAGTTATTATCTGTAAAACATGTATTCATATTTGCACTAAGTGATGAAAGCATAGGCAGTAATATATTTCTGTTAGTTGTTTGTGTGTTAATATTTCTGTCCAGGGTACATACTGTTTTATAAGAACCATGTTTAATATGCATCATATTAAATCAAGTACAATTTGTTCCATTTGATTAATACCTTCAGCAAGTGTTATGAAGGTTTATAATCCAACTAACTATTGTCACATTTACAGTTTTTTTTATTTACCTGGATTGTCTAGAAGCTTTCTTGGTCTTGGCACATGTACGCTGTTTGCACTTCAGTCTCAACTTATTACTGCCGCCATATTTGTACATGTCTTCGCAAGCGTCACAGCTACAGACAATTAAAATATTGTTAATTACATCGACAGTATAAATTAATAGGAGTAAAATAATAATATTGTGATTCCGCATTCACCTAATCAAGTCCAAAGCAACTGTATGTTAATTTTATAATTATATTAAATAAATTTAATTTTATATATAATTGAATGCATCCTATGCATCAGAAAAGACAGTACTCACAAAAATCTACTTTAAAAACGTTACAGATAAGATAGCAATTTCAATGCATATTGTCTATTTTGATTAAAAAAAATAATATTAAATGTTTTTATCCCAGTGAATGTTTTTATTTGTTACTTACTGTCCACAGTCGTGTGTTTGTCGGCAGCCTTCACACTCTCCACATCCATCCTTGGTGCTGGTTCTTTTCGACGATTTGTTTTCAGAGTGGTCCTTCTCCTTGCGTTTCTTTTTCCTGTCATCTCGGCCTGATAAAAATTGATGTTACCTAACTTAAGTCCACTCTAATATGAAAGCCATTGACTTTAGCTCCTAATGTTTTTTTGGTTCAGCAAATCTTGGATAGATACGGCATATGTATAGTCTTATATATGTAGAAAGAAATAGATTATTTTTCATTGTTATACTTGTTATCTTCTTTACATAGTATAAAACATAGTCATTCTCACTGTGTGTACATTTAGATCTATTAAATTATGGAACAGATTGTAATGTGGTTTTTTGCAACAGATAGACTGAATCAAGAGGAAGCTTCATATTTATGCAAGTATATTATATATATACACAAACATAAAAGGTAAGAAATTCAAAGATTTGTAATATGAACTTATAACAAACATTTATTTGCTTAAAAAGCACATGATATTAAATTAATGTACTATGGAATTGGATGTATTAAAAAGATCACTAAAAAAGTCCATAATGATATGCTTATTGTTTACAGATTTTGATGAATCTTTACAGTAATATAGCTAGAAGCTCAGAATAACACATAGGCTATAAATTTCATGCAGATGAAACCGCAGGCACAGTACATAATATAAATTGCTTATATTCTTAGTGATTTCATGATTTTAACAAGTCTTATGCTTTTACTTGAATCTGCTTCATTTTCTCTTTTCTGTGGTCTAAATCTTGTCTTGAGACTGGGGTCCTCTTCTCTGCATCGTTCACAGAAGTAGGTCTTTATGTATTTTGCCTCCCTCTCTGATATGTTGATGCAGTCACCATGGTACCATTCCTCGCAAGCATCACAAGCTCTGTAGGAATACATACACATATTATTTTGGAAAAAATTACCATATTTCTTTTATAGTTTTGTTTGATTGTGTAAGGTGTGAGTACAATACATAACACATGGGACTGTTCTGTGACATTCATATATTACATAAATGGTATAAACATTCACAATCAAAAGAAAACTTTTTAAACAAGCCATTTATGTAGTTTTACAATCAAGAGTGAATTGAATAAATTGATAGTTAGTAGATAAATAAATATATAACAAAATTCCTGAAATTACATTTTTTAAATAATATAATACAGGTCAAAGCAAAGTTACATCAATGGTTGATTGTAAATATTTTACATTTGTACAGTTACAGGATAAAGTTACATGTGTTAGGGATTATTTGACATATAAACTTTGAGTTCATATATTTGTAGAATAATATTTTGTTTGACATTGGTAGAATATTGTGACTTCTACTAATAAAATATTTTAATTAAAAGAAATGTAACAACATAACATAACATTAAATTTATTACGATCTCATTTTCAATGTTTGAATATGTGATCCTTATAGTGTGCAGCATGTCATATACATTCATACATTTTGTACAATCCAAATTTGGTCCATGTAACAGCAAATATATAATAACTATTATTATTATAAACAATGCCTATAATTTCATATTTCGTGGTTAATGAAACTACTCATTAACCACGAAATATGAAATTATTATGTTGCTAATGTATAAATGAAAAGAATAAAAAGGGGAGAAACAGTGCAAACCAATGTCATTGGATATTGTCATTGATGGATTAATTGGATGGCTAATTAGTTTGTTGATCAGATCGGCTGGTCTATATGTTTGAGTAGAAATTTATAATAAACAAGTACTTACATCATAAACCGTGAACTGTCTGATGATCTGCATATGCAGTAAGCTTGGCCTGCCTGGTTCAGTAGCGTGGTAATCTTTGATTGCCTCTCTGGCAGGTCAAATTGTTTAGCTATATCAGCTTTCTGCAAATGAATAGTCAAATAATCACGTATTGCAGTGCTAAGGAAAATAAATTTGAACTCAAATAAGTATACTTACACTTTGCTTATATTTTTTGTCACCCATTTTAAATAAATCGATTAAAATTGTTTGTTCAATAGCAGTGTTGATAAATAGGAATTATGCACGAATGTGTTTTATTTCATATTTACAAATAGAAATTAGTCGGTATGTGAAGAATAATAAGAGAAAAACAAAATGATTGAAAATGTGAAAAATCACAGATCATACACAGAAACAGAGAACGAAAAACACAGAGTAGTTTCTGGTGACGGGTGACGGCAACACTGACGTTGGACAGCATAAGAAATCAATGATGAACTCAGCTTAGTACTAAAGTAGCAAGTATAATGTTTATAATATTAATAACAAAAATAAAATTAATATATTATTAGTAATTTATCTTGAAAATGATAAGTAACCTATTTTCAATTTTTAACATACGTAAAAAATGTCAAGCCAGAAAATGAAAAAAAATATGTAAAAACTAAATTTTTAAATTAGTTTTTACATATTTTTTTTGTGTGTTAATTTAATGAAAATTATGTTACTAAATTATATAATAAATAATTATTAATGCTATTCACTAATTCTGACATGCAATGTTGGTTTGTCATATTTACTTGTTTTGTCAAGCAAATTTTTTTACTAACAGAGATAAACATAAACTAGATACCAAATGCAAATTATGACGACTATTCTGAAATTTTTAGTTCTTTCACAAAATCATAAATATAACAAAGGGCATGATATGATGACGTTTCTGTTACCATAGCAACAGTTGTTTCTGTTTATTATTCGAGCTGTCTAATGGTGAATTTAGGTTATAGATATTTATAAAATTGTGTAATTTATTCATGTAGGTCTATTACATATCTTAATATATAAACAATTTAATTTAATTACTAAAAATATTTTAAAAATAATTGTTTAATTCTCAATCTTACCGCTTTAATTTAGTTTAAGATTACAATGGAAGATGTAGACACTCCGCAAATAATTACTCATATTGAAAATAATTTAAATCATTCGCTATTTGACTGCAAGTGGATACCATGTTCTGCAAAATTTGTTGTTGTTGGTTCACTACCGAGGGGCAGTGGAACTATTGAAGTTTTCGAGATTACGGCTGGTGAAGCTAAGAAAATAAAAGAAATAGAAAGACCTAATTCATTCAAATGTGCCACTTTTGGGGCCAGTAACGACGTGGAAAGACGTCTTTCAACAGGGGACTTCAAAGGAACTTTAGAAATATGGTTTGTAATAATGCATATTATTGCTACAATACAAATGACAAATAAATATTGTACAATACAATATAATATACAATTAAAAAGATTTTTTTTTGCAATTTGGCGCACTGCTGGGCAAAAATTTTTTTTTTATAAATTTAGTATACTTTACCATATATTTATATCATGCTGAGGAAGAAAAACTATGACTTCTAGATATTATTTAATTTAATATGAATGTGAAAAGATGACTGATGGATGAACTATATAAAAGTTGGTGTGCATTAACAAAATCATACTGCTCTATAATGTTCCAGTATTTCTTTTTTTGCAGGGATTTAGAGAAGAGTTGTCAAGTTTATATCACCAAAGAGCATACAGATATAATTAACTCAATAGATGGTATGGGTGGGAATACAATGAACTGTGGAGCACCAGAAATCGTTACCGGAAGTCGTGATGGTAATAATCCTAAAACAATAAAATCTATTGTTCTATGAATAATTTATGATAAAGCATTTCTTTAAGCAGTTAATATGTATATAGGCCTATTTAAGTAAAATGACAATTGGTGATCAGTAATAAAATTCAGATCACACTATATTGTTTTTACAAGTAAGGTTTTTTACAAGTAAGTTTCATTGGAAATTTTTTATTGTGAGGTGAATGAGACAGAAAGGTGCCATAACTATGAATCAGAAAAATCTTATAAGATACTTTCAACCACTTATGCACATCATAGTTTTTCAGTTCAGCTAGTTACTCCAATGGACTTCTCCAAATAAGATGAGTTACTTGGACATCACTCCCTCTCCCCAAAAGTTATTATTAAATAGCTCAATAAACTATAATTGGTTCAACACTTATGACTACTCCAATTGAAATTAGAGTTATGATTACCTTTCAATTCTTAGGTACTGTGAAGGTATGGGACCCACGTCAGAGAGGAAAACCAGTTGCGAACATGCAGCCTATGAAAGGTGAAACTAAACGTGATTGCTGGACGGTTGCATTTGGTAACTCCTTTAATGATGCGGAGAGAATCGTTGTCGCCGGTTATGACAATGGCGATTTGAAAATGTTTGACCTCAGAACAATGTCACTTAGATGGGAGTGCAACTTGAAGAATGGGGTAAGAAATTTATGTAAATGGATATTTCAACCTATTTTAATAAAATTCTCGGTTCTATTATATTTTTTTTGTGTGATGAAGTTAGTACAAATAATGTCTATTATCCAGGATTGCTAAACATCTAAGGTTGGCTTTTTGCTTCGTTTGATAAAGGCAAAAATTTTGTGTATTCTCACAATTTGACACTGAACCTCATACATCACCATATTTTTATGTGGAAATAGAGCGATTGTACCGAGGTAGTTTCTTGTTACGCTGTGTTTGTCTACACTAAATAAAATACATGTACAATAGTCGAAACTTAAATTTATCTGTTGAAAAAAGGTCCCTAGAAATTCTCATAGGTGAATTCCCATTTATCTACGACAATTCCTCCGGGAGAACAAAATAAAGTCTTAAAAAATAAATGATAAATGGAGTATTAAGCTGAAAATGTTTTTGACCATTTACAGGTATGTTCCGCTGAATTTGATCGTAAAGACATTCCAATGAACAAGATAGTAGCAACTACTTTAGAGGGCAAGTTCCACGTGTTCGATGTCAGAACACAAAACCCTGTGAAAGGATTTGCTCAGGTACGCTGACAGAACATGTATTTAGGGATTCGGACAACGTACATGTAGTATCTTTGTGGTGCGGAGCAATGGTGCAAGAAATACAATTTTATACAATGAGAATGACAAGCAAGCTGACGGCCCATCTGATGGTAAATAACCGTCGTCGGTAACCGTCTTCTATATTTTTTAATTTTTTTTTATTGGGTTGTTTCGGCTATTCAGTCAGATACTTGAACCTGTAGCACTGCGACCTACATAGATGTATTGTGCTCGCCCTTTTTCAAAGTTCGCTACCTAGACCCGTCAGGGACAAGAATTGAAGGATATTCTGGATGGTTTTTATCTCCTCGGGAAAGAGTGTAAACTTTCCAAGGGAGATATTTCGTTTATGCATGAGTGGGCCATAACCACATAGGACCAAGAGTAAACGCCACTACACTGTGGCATTTACTCATTAGTTTGGCAGAATCTGCAGATTTTTGTCGTGCATAGGCCTAGGTAAGCCATATGCTTGTTCAACTTGCGTCCTGTGAGGGCCCTAGTCATCATGCATGTGTTGTTTTTACTGAATAGCAATAGTCTATTGGAGTATTTGTTCGAGTAGCCTGATATTAGAGCTTTTGAATGTGTCAATCCTGTATACATGAACAGCACTATGGACATCATGTTAGCATGTGATACCCGTGATATCAATGCGTCATTACAGGGGACTAAAACTCTTGTTCTGTAATGTTATATCATTTTTATTCTTAAGGAACTTATATTTAGTGGCTTGGTGACAAGTCAGTTTAGTGCAACAAATGTTGCACTAAACTGCATGCTTTGAGACGTTAAAATATATTAACGTCAGGTAACGCCTAAAAACAAACTAGCTTGAAAATAAACAGATTGACATATAGAGCCACATTCGTATTTATATATTAAAGAGTTTTGATTTCAGGTTCTAGATAATTCTACGAAAAGCGGCACAATTTGGGTGGCTCGCCACGTGCCACAGAACCGTGATTTATTCATAACTTGCGCTGGTAATGGACAAGTAACGCTTTGGAAATAGTAAGTATTATTTGCAGCGTCGATGTTCTAGCGATTTATTACATCGCTTTACTTCCTATGGTAACGGGATCGATTCCTTGCACAATGCAAACATTTGTGTTTATGAGTAAGTGTATTATCCATGGTCTTAGCCAGCCAGGGGCTCAGGGTGGGGCAGAAGTCTAAAATATTATGTAACTAGCAAACTATACTATACTATACCCCGATTGTTTTTTTCATACAAAATTATTCATGCTATCTATTCATGATAGGATCCTGATATGTATGTTATTTTGTGAGTCGATTGTTGAGTATGAATTTTCTTCAGTATATTAGGTATCGTAGTGGGTAGATACTTCGATAATTTATCTTTTTAGATTTGGTTAGGTTACCTTACAGGTCAGAGCCAGGGTGGGGCAAGTGCCTCATCCTGCCCCATTGAGGCTACGCCCATGGTGTTATCTATGTTAAATTGATAAATATTCAATAAATTTATTATGTATGTATTTAAAAAAAAAACTATGTATTATATCAATTGTCTAGTGCCTATAACACAAGCTCAATTGTCTTGGGGTCATTATTATTATTCTAATTTTTGAACTCAAACCGTTTTTTCTCAGTCAATACCCAGAGCAAAGAGTGCGAACGGATGATAAGGGCGTTGCGTGCGGAGTACCAGGTAAGCTGCAGCGTCTCCAGAGGATGGTGATCAGTTCGCAGCCAATCAACGCGCTGGACTGGAACCGCGATCACACAGGCCTTGCGGTCGCCACCGCTTACGACCAGTGTATCAGAGTCCTCGTCACCACCAAGTTGAATTTGCACTAGTCAATTTAAGTTATAATGATTTTAATATATATAATGATTATTACACCAATGTATTTTTATTTTAAGTTTTGTTGATGTTCAATAATATTAGCATATTTTTAAATATTGTTTGTTTCGATCCCGTATAGGTACATATTTAATTGGATGAAACTGAAATAATTTTTACGCCTGCGCAAACAGAAAATACTGGCGGGTTACCAGATATACATGAAGGCAATGTACCACGGTGGTTGTAAACAAGCATATGTCCCATCTGATGGTAAACCGTAACTGTAGCCTTAAGAAGCCTTATTACACCCTTATTATAAAAGCTCATAGAACATTCCATAAACTAAGTGCAAATGAAAGTACCTATACCATCTATTCCCTACTAATATTTTTATATTATAGTAGCGGGTGCACCGCGACAACGTGCACGTGGAATTTAATTTTATTTTTCTAAAATAAAAGTAGCTTAGGTTACTCCTTATTACATCAGTTCCCCGTCAAAAAAAGCCCCTTTAAAATCGGTCTAGCCATTTCAGAGATTAGGCGGAATAAACAGACAGACAGACAAAAATTTGAAAAAGTGGTGCTTTGGAGTATGTACCGTATTTATATTCATATGCATGTACTAAAAAACGGTTATTTCAATATTACAAACAGACACTGCAATTTTATTTATATGTATAGATTGTATTGTATAGTAGGTATTAGATACACACATACGTACGTACAATTTTCTTAGAATATTTAAACGATATTAAGACGCATTGAAATATTTTGTAGAACAATAATTATTTGGAGATTTATTCTATTAGAGATTAGATAATACATGAGTGTAAATAAATACATCATTCACTTTTGAATGCCGATTGTTAAAAAGACAAAAATAATTCTGCATGATACGATCCCTTTGTTACCCAAACTCTATGCGCCCTCGCTCCAACCGAAGGGTGCCCAAACTGCTTCGATTTTCTACGGTTCCGTTTAATTAAAGTCATATTAACGTATTAGATACGATTTAACGCTCGTGCAGATAATCATTGAAAGAAATTATAATACTTTAAGCATTGTATGCTTACGGGGCCTAGCCTGTAGCTACACATATGTACCAATGCGTTTTATAATGACAGCTATCTCGTAATGGTTCCTTAGTACATACTAGTAGGACTGATGCATGAGCGGACTAAGGCCTAGGCAAGCTAGGCACGTGCCCATAAATTAGGTATTTACTTTGTTTTTATTTAACAAAGACGTCATATTCATAATTATTGCTGAAACGTATCCAGCTTATGTCGAATCATTGATTGATAATGTCCTGCCCGGAATTACAATGTTTTCTAGGGATCGATTTAGCCTAAGTTCGCCACTGGACTGTTGACTGAAGGAAATCAATCAATTTCCTAAAATAAAATGGTGACAGATTTAACAAGGAATATCGTAGCAGTAAATTAAAAAAAATTGTTATCTGATGAACTAACTCCTTTGTGTATGTAAACTTCAAATTTACTGCTGTGCTTCTTTTAGGTCATTACGTCTCCTCAGCGCCTCTTTTGAATCAATTGTTAAATAAACTCAAATATTCTCATAAGAATCTAGCGGTCAATTACCAAGTAGGTACCTACATGTGTTGGTTTTAATTCTAATTACGTAATATTATTAATAACAGACATTCCATAGCTAATTGTCTAATCACAAACAGATTTTATGATATGATATGATATAATATTAGGTACATTTTAATAAGCAGTATCTTTACTAAATGATGTAATAAATTAATTATTAATACGTATTATTTGATAGATATATACCTACCTAGTACTTATGGACGTACTATCTAACGATCTGCCTTGGCATCGTATACCTACGGATGCAATTAATTGCAGGTTTTTGAGTTCTTTGAAAACAAAATACAGCGCTGATAGTAGTGTGTAGCAGACTCTAAACATTTTTGGGAGAAGGGGATGGCTAGTAATGTGGACATGCATGGTAATAATACATTGCTAGCAATATATTATGCCAGTTTTATCTCTACGAGAATATATTTGAACCATCATGGTTAATTCCTAACGATTGGTTGGTATTATTTGTCCACATTACCTACTACCAATATCCTTCCACCCCGACCGATAAATAGTAACAAACTATTTTCTAAAATGGTCCGTTTTAAAGTTAAAAGTAGAACCCTAACCAATTAGAAAACAATAATGTATCGTCTATACTGAATTAGTTATCATATCAAAACATATTTTGTCATTCCCCCAAAGTTGTACCACGTGCGGCGGCGAGCGTTTCTCCCCCGATTTAATAACGCATCCCTTCTGTAATTGATGCGTGTAATTCAGTTGACATGTTTTGCTAAATCTCATAATTTGACACAGCTAAACACCCTTTCAGAAGTCAAGTTGATTTTTGATTCTAAATTGTAGTCTTTTTTTGCAGAGACTCTTGTGTCTGTAAAACGCAACATGATAGTAATTCATTGTGCATATTTAAATATTAGTATGTGGACTCTTAATATATTATAATTTATTCCTGATATTAATCATTAAAAACTTTATTTATATTTCTATATCATATAACAATAACAAATGATAAATATAATTAAAACTAAGAGTTGAAATTACCAAATAAAATCATCCATTTTTATTATTCCTTTATTTTTTTTGAACCATGTCCTTTATCTATTACCTGACTGCTACTACCTCTCTATCCCACAGGGAGAATCTCTATCTCTTTTGTATTCGTCAGGCGCGACTTGGCCGATCCGTAAGTCCTATTGCGGGTTTGGAGTACCATCTGCACTGGCCCCATACCGTTCGGTGAAGCTGTAAAGGTCAGCGGCGGCATATGGTATTAGAGTAGTCCAAAAAAAGGGAAAACCCAGTTGTGCATTGCAATTTATGTACTTTTGTGTAGTTACATTACATATACTCCTGATTCTGAATCTACCTGGTGATTGCAGGTCTATCTAGGACTTCCTAATTTTATTGTCCCATGCGCGATTTTTAAACATAGCGGCAAGCCCCAAGGTATGCTCGGCTTATATAAGGAACATATCTCTCAAAGTTTGCCAGCTGAAGGGGCAGCCGACCGACCGAGTCAGTAGTAATGACGATGAACTCACCTCTTAAGTTTTGACTGCTAGCTCTTTTTAGACATCTTATTTCTACACTACCCTTGTTGATCTACATTTTCAATAAACGTGATCGGATTTACCCCATCAGCCCTAATTTTGCGTCAATATGACAAGTGTGCCATTGTTGGGTTTTGTGCCGGGGATAATATGCGAGTTGCAGAGTGAAACGAATCCGCCATCTGTCTCTGGTCACGCCTCGGTTTTGACGCGATAATGTGATCAATAACAGATTAATTCGTATGGAATTACGCATTGTGCAATGCAGGTGCATCTTTGTGGAATGATTTATATGTTTAGAGTATAAATGCAAACTATCCATACTAATAGTATCAATGTGAAAGTGTGTGCCTATCAGTTTGTTACCGTTTCCATGGCTTAAAAGATCATACTAAATTTGATGTAAAAAAATAGAGTAGGTATCACTGCAGTTATTGTGCTATAAAAATAGACGGAGTCGCAAGTAGCAGCTAGTTTACTGTAGTTTCATAATAAATAGTTTAGCGGCTTAAACGGTTTATAAAATGGAATGATCTTATCTTGAAACCACTTTTTTACCTGAATCAGCTTGAGTATCTTAATTTCTTAGTTGATATCTATAGAGTACCTGATTTGTTATTGCTTGCCTAGTTCGCAATGTGAATATAAGGCTCCGAAGGTAACACTACACTAAGTACAACATATTCCTACAACATTTCTATATAATATTCCGTCGGTAAGACAGATTATAAATACATTTAATAACTATTTTTATTCTAAGTATGTTTTCGTAAGCTTATCGTGATAAAGCTAAATGATTTTAGTTTCAACTCTACATTGCCTAACAACCTTGCTTATTGCGTTCTAGATTTTATTCAATTACTCCAAATTTATATAGGTATATGTATCCAAATTTCTATTGAGAGAGAATAAATAACATGCCTTTAACATTGTGAAGGTTTGAATACGTATCTACAATTATGAATAACTCTGTGTTAGATAGGGAAATATAATTCTTCTATAAATATGTGAATTATTTTCAATATTTTTTTATATAATTTATACATTTAATTACTATACCCAAAGTAAGGGCTTAGCCCAGCAGTGGTACATGAATCAAGTAAACAAAAATATTTACGGTAGATACTGAAGAGTTTGGATGAAATATATTTATGTCAATATCTCGGCTAGAATTCAGAAATAATGTAGCTCCGCCCTTTGCAACTGCTGCATCCAATTACAATCAAGTATCCTATTTCACCCTTACACTGGCCAATCACAATTGGAAAATCTGGCGTTGTTATGGTTAAGGGTGGCTTTTCACTGTATCATGACATTCTAGACCTTACGTTCGTAACAAGAAGCTAAATTTTTGTTTGATTTAAGAAATTAATAAAAATTTCCTGACTACGTTTTGGTATAATATGCTGGTAGCATTTAATGTAGTTTCATTTCATAAGTGGAAGATTTCGGTCGGTCTTCCAGTCTTGTTGAAAATATTTCGTCAATTTCTGTTCGCTAGTGATCAGCGTATAGTGTAGACAGTTTCATTTTGTGGTGTGTTGTAAAATATCAAGATTCATTTCCCTCTAATGTCATACGGTAGCGAGACGCCGCACGTCTGGAGCAGTTCAGCAGTACGTTGTTTTATGTATTATCTACTCGTATTTACTTCTGCCTACTTGCAGCTTGCCTGTGTAGTTCCTTGACACATTTTTATATTCTATTTAAATTTTTTTTTATATATTCCTTTTTGTTACGTTTTTTGTTATGGCGCTGTCGTGTCAGTCAAATATTTTTAAATATCTCAATTTTTACAGCAATTTTTAATTCAATATTTACAGCGCTCTCTTAAAGTCTCTTAAAATCCTCTAAAAATTCATACTCATTTGATACATTAAATACCCTTCACTCTTCAGTACTATCTACATCATATACCTATATATATATGTATTTCAGTGTCTTCCATGCCAGTTGACAACATCCTGTTTTTTTCTAAATTTTGTTGATCTTGAACGAGAAGGCTCCTGGGGCATATTCCTGTACAATGTTACTAATTCAGTATACCACAATGGTTTCATGCGTGCTGTCGTAAATAGTTACAAAAATGTAGATATTATATTGGGCTTCATGTAAATTATGAAATTAGTAGTATCAATTTGAAAAGACTAGTGTTTTCCATCATATCTAACCAAATTTCCAATATAATAATTAAAATTCCAATTGATTGTAATAAATGGAAGTATATAATTATTTATACCATTAAAATATAGACCAAAAAACAGTTAGTACCTGGTAAAAGTATAAAATTCTCTGGAATAATGAATACTTTTACGATTCACATACCATTATTTACCAAGTACAATAGTACCTGTATATATCTACATATAGTGCTTAGCTTTAAGCAAAGCTAGTGTTATGGGTAAACAAGTAATAGACATACTTAAATACGTTTTTTTGTAAATAGGTACATACATATTAGAATACACCGAAATAAATACAGACAATCGTACTTTTTAATACATATATTTGCACTGTGCGAATAATCGATCCCGCAACCATCGGATTTATGGCGGTATGCCAAACCGCTAGATCACTGAAACCATTATGACATCACTTCATCATGTGACGCCCGTAGTACCTTTCAAGCCATACTGCTTCGTAGGCTCAAGCTATTATGTCGCTGTAATCTGTACACTGTAATTTTCTCCAACCAAAACGATGTTATATATATAACGATAGTGGAAAACAAGCATACTGCTGTAGACATCTGATACACCAGGGATGTTCAGTCCGCGTTGCCGACTCAAAATTATAAAGAAGGTGTATAGCGGCATCCTGTAATGTGTGAGACAGAGTACGTTACGACTTTCTACGAATTAATTATTTGAAATAGATATAATTCTATTAACATAATAAAGAAGATAATGTGTGGTGCAGGGCAGCGAGGTGTCTCCATACGGGCCGCTGTGGGACGCGCCACCAGCGCCGGTGCCCTATCCCGACATCCTGGCGTTTCCGCCCGCCGACCTAGGTAAAATATTATATAGAGATACTATTGAAATTTGTTTTAAACTTCGAATAAAAGGAAATCTAGCAATGTAATGTGAGGTCGACTTCCATGCGGTCCCCTCTGGAAACCTCAAGGAAATTAACATGACGGTTGGAAACCATTATATATATAATATATACATTATACATATCATATATATATTAATTTCCTGATGAATTTGCCACGATAGGCTGACTGACCTGACCTGTCCACCTGACATCTTATCACCCTCCACTGGTACCCCGCGTAAGCCGATAGCGCAGGCGGGTGCATCATTCCTTTATCATCCATCAACAAAAATATAGAACTAATATTAAAGTAACTATTAACCGCGACTTTGTCCGTTTATTTTTTTTGTTAAAATAAATAATTTTTCTAAAACAATAGTAGCCTAATAAGGAGGAGGAGTAACTTCCTTATAACATTAGTAAACTGCGAGTGAAACTCCCGTCAAATTCGGTCCAGCCATTTCAGAGATTAGCAACAAATGAGTAGACAGATATTTTTTAAAATTAATTCTTTGATGTAAGATGTGTATATGTTTCCTTATGCATTTACAAATAGACTTCAAAATTTATTTGTATCGATGAAAATATTTCTGTTAGTCTGTTACATTTTCATGACTAAACTGCTGAACAGGTTTTATTCAATTTTGACGTGAAGATACATTGTATAACAAGGACGGACATAGGCTATCTTTTGTTTAAAAATATAATTTGATATGGGTGAAATAGGAAAATAATAATTAGTATAAAGTGCAGACAGGGTAGCAACTAATTAAAAACAAAGATAATAAATACTTTCTGCATTAACCATTTAACCTTTAGTTTTTTTTTTTTTTGGATAATAAATTCACCGGACGTTTCGAGTGCAGATGGCACTCCAAACCCGCGGAAGGACTTATGGAGCGGCTGAAGGCCAACTCCTGCCCGACGGATACGACGGTCTGGGGGCACCACTAGGGGTTCGAACCTCGGCTCAGGCCGTCGTAATTTCGATCCCCGTTTGAATTGGACGGGGGATCGATCGGATTAACCTTTAGTAAAAATAATTACTTTATATTTACTGTGCTCATATTTGTATGATTTGAATCGACATATAGTATGGTCGGCGGCTGGTTGTGGCGGTCGGGCCGGCTCCCGAGCGACGCCCGTCGGAAAGAAGCCGCGGCGTCGTGTTGCCTCCGTCGCTCAACGCCGCGCCGCCAATATTCGGGAGAGAAGACGCATGTTCAATTTGAACGAGGCATTTGATAAGTTACGCCGAAAGGTATTTGTAAAAATATTTTTTACTATTATTGTATGGTATATACAATATCATTCTGCTAAAACTATACAAACAGCCGTTTCTTCAAAATAATCTATACATATAAATAAAATTGAAGTGTCTGTTGTAATATTGAAATAACCGTTTTTTACTACGTGCATATGAATATAAATACGGTATATACACCATAATAACATTTTTTACGATTTTTGTCTGTCTGTCTGTTTGTTCCGGCTAATCTCAGAAATGGCTGGACCGTTTTTGACGGGACTTTTATTGGTAGGTAGCTGATGTAATAAGGAGTAACTTAGGCTAATTTTATTTTAGAAATATAAAGTTAAATTCCACTCGGACGAAGTCGCGTGTATAGCTAGTATAAAATAAATATTGTTGTAGGAACTACAATAACATATTTCATTTTATATTTTTCTTAAATTTTTCCTTTTGTTTTCTAAAGAGGATTATATGACCAATAGTGTCTTTCGAATCTAAAACAAACAATATGCCATTACAATGTAAATGTGTTTAAATAAATTTATTTAAATAATTTCTTCTTATATAAAACATTATTTTCTTAAAAAAATAAAATAAAAAGATTGTACTCACGGTGTGACCTAAATTGTTCTATAAAATATTCATACTTCGCAGTCGTGATAATGAAATCTAATGAATTCTATTAACAATAAATTAGTTATATCGTTAGTTAAATAAGATTTCTGGGTATTCTTATTATATTTTTAATTACTTATACCCGGCGCAGTCTTTTCAGTCATGTACAAGCAAAATGTATAGCATTTTGCTTCTAAATTGGAATTCGATTAAAGGGTTCCGAAAGTGAAAGATGTTATGCAAAATAATTTTACGTTAGTGTTTCTATAATAATATTCACTTTTATAAGGATATTATTGTGCATATTAAATCTATACATATTATAAACCAGTCTTCCGCCGCGTTTGTCTGTATGTACTCGATAATTTAAAAACTACAGAACCGATTTTTATTTATCAACAGAGTTATTTCAAACTAGCTGTACCAGCGACTTCGTCCGCGTGGAATTTAGCTTTATTTTTCTAAAATAAAAGTAGCCTAAGCTGCTCCTTATTACATCAGCTACCTGTCAATAAAAGTCCCGTCAAAATCGGTCCAGCCATTTCAGAGATTAACCGGAACAAACAGATAGACTTACAAAAATTGTAAAAATGTTATTTTGCTGTATGTACCGTATTTTTTTTTCATATACATGTTGTAAAAAACGGTTAAAAAGAATAAGCATTGCGAACCCGTGACATCTTGTTACATTAATATTAAAATATAGTTTATTTATATTGGTATCCTTTGGTATCGCTCTTCAGGTGCCTACATTTGCGTACGAGAAACGACTGTCTCGTATCGAGACGCTTCGGCTGGCGATCACTTACATCAGCTTCATGTGTGAGCTTCTCCACGGATCACCACAACCGCATCACAATCCACACCACGCGTTGCATCCGCCGCGGCACGTGTTCGATGCTGAAGTGCCTTGGTGTGCTTGAATCAACATCAATGGAAAAGTTTCTTAAATGTAAAGGAAATAAGTGACTAGAACTTACTGTATATAATTTTTCACAGATTAAGGCCGTCATATTTACCTTTTGCTGAAATTAAGTGCTCTATTTGTATTTATTAACTGCTAAACTACACATTTTGCCAAAGATTAGACATATATGTGTATTGTAGTTAGGGACATAATATATAATCATATCGCCAGATATTATATTCGAGTATGCTCCTATTTTTGCATTGTTCAGGTTTCTATCCATCGAAAAATTTTGCACTTTAGATTAACATATTAGATTTAATATTTTGATAATATTGTAATGTAATGCCTAGCTGTATTTGTATTTTTAACAAAATCTTATTCCAAATACAACTGTATTTAGGACCATGGTCCAAAACGCCACATTGAAAGTAGTACTTGGGTCACAGACAATTTGATGACAATTTCAATGATCGATACCATTTATATTGTGATGAGATTGGAAGAAGGTCACTCCAACTTTATCGAATTGTATGATGTTCAAGACATTAAATCTTGCTAAAATGCAGTCGTTTATAATGTTTCTTGATTACAATACAGTCTAACAGATTAAATAAGACCACAAATAATATTGCACCGTAGATGATGTTGTATATCAACATTATTACTTACAGTTAGTCACATAACAAGCTGATATTTAAGATATTTTTATCCATATTGAGATAGTGATAAATGTACAGTTTATTTGCTGGTCACTAAAGTAATTAAGTAGTATTTAGTAAATGTTATATAAAGTTGCGGTTTCCATTAGCAATAAAGTAATTAAGAAATTATTTTGTAAAAGAATGTAGTGTGTACATAGAAAATGTCTTCCATTAGTTTAACGGATAATCTCTATATATTTGTCTTTACAATTTTTTTATATAATCAGGGAAAACAATCTTGCATATGAATGTACTGAACACGATACGAACTAAAGGCATTATTTGTGGCCGACACTTATGAAACAAAGGTTTGGGATACCTACAATATATCTGTTCAGTAATTTCACTGACATAACCGTCTTATCCTTAAAAATGAACCAGCAACCAATCAATATGCTTGGCGGCAAAATGAATATGATATGCTTAGATTATTTATTTTTATCTGTTCATGCTAAATGGCTCACGAGACTGCGAAGTGTGTAGCATTTATACAAAAATCTGTACCATTAAAAAGAAATTACATCTATGTAAACATTATTAGGAAATATCTTTAACTGTTCACTTTGCTTTCTAGGCCAGTTATTCAGTATTCGGACAGTTGATGCGGATATTTTTTTGATTATATCCAAGGATATGCCTATTTGCTCCCTCATATATATAATAAAAAATCAGTAAATAGATTGAAAGTAAGAATAAGGTAAGAGTGTAAGTATGATAATAATATTTAAAGTAAGAAAATGAATAATGTTATGTACATACTTTAAGAAGAATGTTTAAGCATACCTACCTATATTGTAAAATGAAATTACAGTTGTTTTAGTGCAATAATTATTTGCCCGCCCAATTATAATGTAAATTAGTAATGATACATACATGACGGTGTTAATAAATGAAATTAATAAATGACTAATAATTTACTGATAAACCACAGGTATTTATTAACTAACAATATATTGTTGTTATATAAACCTATTATTAATTACCTAAAATTATACTTTTGTTAATTTGAAGTTATCTTAATGGAATATGCGTGACAAGATTGCGACACCGTTATATCAGTTGTAATATTGATCTAAGAACAAAGATAGAAGGTAGGTTTCATTGACAGCAAAATTTCCTATTAGGTCAATCTCCATGCAGATCTTTCTGGAAGCCATCATGTTAAATTTTTGGTGAATGGTCTTTTACCATACTCTGGTATATGAAAGCCTCAGTATTCCAGCGGCTTAGGATAGCGGCTTGCCTCCTATGATCGCGACTTCAATTTCTCGCATAGTACAAACATATGTATTCATGAATATGATTGTTTGTGTTGGTTTGGGCGGTTTTTATGTATAATATGTATGTATTTACAAAAAATGTAAGAAATAAATTTATTTATGTGTAATATCAGTTGTCTAGTACCAATACCACAAGCTTTGCTTAGCTTGGGACTTGTCAGGATTTATATAGTACTGGTGTCTGCATATATTAGAGAGCAGGTAAATTGAGCATTATCTGTAGGCGTTTTGATGGTGGTATTTTTAAATAATTGGAATGACAAACAAGCTGCTAACCTAACTGATGGTAAGTGGTAACCGTCGTAAGCAAGCTGGTTATCGGTAAAAATACATATATGAGTTTGAAATACCCACTTAGTTAAATACCTACCTCGGTTAAAATCGCTACGGTTATAATTCTAGAACAGCGTTATGACTATTTTGATAAATATATAATCTGCATGTAAACCTAATTTAAGACTCTAACACCAGTCATAGTCAATATGATATTATAATAATAAATAAAATAAGATCGAGATTCAAAAAAGGTCCAGGTCTAACTTTGAATACCTTATAAAATGCAATATTATTCATACTTTTTTATTTTTGTATCTACAAAGAAACTCTAGCTTTATATAGATTAGTCATAAAGAGTATATAAATCTGAAATTCAGGTAGACTACTAATCAAACTGAACTAATAAAAATGTGAAAAACTAAAATTAATAACGTGACTGATGAGTTTGTATGAAGATTTAAAAAAAATATTTTCATAGTTCCACTTTGATGCAAAGTAGAAATGTTAAAGTCTCATTAATACTATTATTGGCGGTCAAGTCAGTTATTATACATACATTATATAGTTTTTTCTAATGGATGAATTCGGTATAGAGAATCCGCCAGCGCTAACAAAATACTCTGAGGTACAATACACTGGAGGATGAATCAGAATTCAGTGAATCAGTCAGTCAGAATTAACCGGTATGTTCCCAGGGAGACCGCGTGGAGTTCAAACTGACATGACATCGCTAGCAATGGGGTTATTAATTCACAGTACTAACAATCCCCCCGTACGACTATCTAACTCTTTACGACTAACTCTGTGCGGTAGTATAGATAATATAGAATATTTATAAAGTATGGATTATTTTAATGATGTACAATGCCATTTAAAGAGTGAGGACAGGGTTTATAGTTAGTTCTTTTTGAAGCGAACTACATTCAGAACTAACGGTAGATTTGACTTATCATAATAAGTAGCTGTAATAGACATATAGTGCAGTAAAATTTTAAATTAAACAGGATGTGATCAGTTTTGGCGCAATAAAAAAAATGAGTCCGCGAATACTTGAATAATAATATTAAAAAATAAATTTTGTTAATATAAATAAAGGGATGAAAAAATTAAATAAATACTAGATAAGTATATGAATGTTGACCCGGATTTCGAACCAACATTTTCTTGGTAAAATAACTTATTATTTAATTAAGTAATGAGCACATAAGTATCATAGACACACAGTTCCTAGGCATGCGTCATTCGACATTTTAATGATTTCTCCATTAATGATTCTATTATAAATGATGGTGATTTGATAAATTTCATTCAGTTTTGCGGGAGAAATGGGAAAGAGTGACATACAAGGAAATATTTGACGGTCACTTAATAAATAGTTATCTTTATGATATTGAGAAATAAGTGTACAGTGTGACGTTGCAAGATGCGGTGGTTCATATTTCACGTAAGTATTAATTTTGCATTTAATATAACTGTAATCTATACTAAATCTAGATAAATATATAGATACTAGAGCTGAGCTGCAATAACGAGTGGTGGCTTAACTGAAAGTCAGTGCTACAGTAGACTGCAGCACTAGTTGACTGAAGGTCCGTTTAGTCTATAGGGGAATATTAGTTTTTTAAAGGACTGTATTCTTCATTATTATATATCTATTCAGAGACGCACGATAGCAATACTTTCAATCGAAATTTTGACGTAATTATTTACGTTCAGCTCTACCATAAAAGTTTTGTTATTTTGAAAATTCATTATACTTACGAAAATTTTTATACCGTCTTGGATTGTTCACACGAATAAGCTAAAGATAGGTTCCTTTTTGTATGAAAATCTAGTTTTTCATATACGTGTAATAATAAAATAAACTCGTTTAAATAAAATCTAACTAGTGTGAAACGTATCAACGTTTGCTTGCTCTATCATGTGGACAAAATTTCATCGAGTGGAATTAGTAATTGTAGAAAAATTTTATAGTAGCACGTTTTGTACGGATAGTTCTAAAAAAGAAGTTATTTTATTCTTCCTACATTGTATTATGCTATGCTATGTAAGCTGAATAAATAGTATATTGTTACTAAATCAAACATCATAAAAATAGGTCCATACATATTTTAATAATAATGTTTTTTTATCATATCTGGTATTGTAACAGTATAACATATATTTGTTTAAGAAAAACATATTTGTGTTACTGTCGTCGCAGTTAAAATTACTTTAATAGTACTGAGTACTTCAAATTGAATTGAAGTATAATTTTAATTTAGTTTATTTTAATATTTTCTAAGAAGCTTCTGTGTAATTAAGTTATAAAGTTATACTATAGTGATAATATTCAAGAAAGATGACAATAGATACTTATTGCTTAATTTGTTTCAGTGTATTATGCTAGGATGCACAGCCGTCACGCTGGCGAAACACGATAGTATCAGACCAAAAAGAGATTTCACCTTTCTAAAACAATTATTCAAACCAGCAGTTGAGGCTCCGAAGAACATTTCACCCTTAGAACTTTTAGAAGAAGGAGAAGATTATAAAATTTTTAGAGTACCCGGATTTAAAAAGATTCTAGTTAAAGCCATACGGAAAAAAACAGTAACTTTAGATCCAGCAAATGGTAACGCTGACGACAGAAAACCCATGCTCGAAGAAGATGCAACATCCAATATTGTTGGGTCCTACTTAGGTACTAAATCTGCAAATGAGACATTACATGCCTTGCAAGGTATCAGAAATTTAGTGCAATCCGGACTACTCGAGGCCAATGGAGAAGTTGTACAGAATATAATGCCAACAGGTGTGTGGCCACCTATCAAAAGGTTATTACCGCATATTCCTTGTAATAACTTGCATTCTGTACCTGCTCCGCAGTTGTCAAAACCCCTTCAGTATTCCTACAACAAATTTCATAACGATGGGCAAGTAACAACGTATACAGCGCACGATGATCAGAATGTAAGTGTTAAAAATTCTTATTCGCCGACGCATACATTACCGGCTATAGTCTCTAAAGCACAAGCAAATGAAAATAAAAAAGTATCCGCATCTGTACCATTACTTCCTATTAAACATGTTCCA